AAGCTCACCAGCTGCTTCTCAGAAACTCTATACAGGGTCGCTATGGGTCAGACTCAACTCAATAGCACTTAATAACAACAAATGTTATTTAATGTTGTTGTTGTGAAGTGCCGTCAAGTCGATTCCAACCCATAGCGACCCTATATAGGGTTTCCAAGGAGCAACTGGTGAGCTTGAACCATCAACCTTGCAGTTCAAAAGACTTTGCAGTCTGATGCATTAGCCCACAGACACTCATAATTTGATCTCCAGCCCAAACTCCCCCTTTGAGTATCAGATTTATGTCCAATAAAAACATTTGAAACTCAATATTTCTCAAAACACACTCATAATCGTCCATATTCTAGCAACAATCAAATTCAAGACATGTAAATGGTTCTACTAAATCTGCATCTCTCCATTCCCACTGCTGCCACCCAGCTTAGTCCAAGACACCATCAACTCTTCTCCAGATTCCCAACTTTGGTCTCTTGGTATCTATCAATTCTTTTTATTGTTATTATTATTTATTTTAAGTTTTTATTGTGAATTGAGTGATAGTTTACATGGGCGAACATCGGTTTTACATACATTGTTTCATTGCCATGATTACAATCTCCTCTGTGCATCATCATTCAACAGTATTTGCTTCTATTCCCTCTGGGGTTTTTTTGTTTTGTTTTTTGAGGTTGGGGGGGATGTACACCAAAACACTCAGGAATATATAAACATTTAAACAACCAAAGGGCACATTCTGTAAGCCTGCCTCCTGGCCGCCAGCACACAGCCTTTCTCTTTCCATGAGTCTAGAGTCTTCAGCTTCTGTATCTTTCCATGTCCTCATCTCTGTCTCCATCTCTGGTGTCGCTGCTTCTCTGGATAGGGTTCCTCATTCTGCTCATGCTCTTCTCCCTTGATGGTCCTAGGGTCCTCCCTTCCTGGAATGGAAGGTTAGCTACTTCTCCCTTTATGTTACAAAATTTCTACTTCTACAGTTGTGACAATCTCAGTTAGTCATGATAACAACTATCACTATTGAATCATAAGAATCTTATCCCCATCTCCTTTCACCAGACCCACCTAGACAAGATGCAAGCTATTCAATGGGGATTCTACCTTCTCCCGCACTCGGAAACTAAAGTCCCTTTTGAAAGACAGTCACTTTGTGCCTTGATAGCGATAGCGTGCACCCCCCCCCACCCCCACATTTTAGGTAGCCAATGTCTAAGTTGCCTGTCCCTATCACCCCTGCGTACAAAGGGGGTAGGATGAAGACTCGTTCCCTCTCAGCACCTATCTATTCTTACCCTCTTCATCCCACTATCCACATGTCAGGAATATAGAACAACTTTTCAGAATGCAATATAATCAAGCTACCCTTTGCTTAAAATCTTTCTTTAGTTCCCACTACTCTTAGGACAAGGAGTCCTGGTGTGGCGCTTTGGGTTAATGCGCCAGAGTGCAAAGCCGTTTGAACTGCAAGGCTGGTGGTTCAAGCTCACCAGCTGCTCCTTGGAAACCCTATACAGGGTCGCTATGGGTCGGAACCGACTCTACGGCACTTAAGAACAACAACAACAACTCTTAGGACAAAGACCAAAGTCTTTCAAGATCTTGTCATTCCAGCCTACTTCACCAGCCTTGTCTTCTTCACTTGTTCCCTGCTCCATCAGGTGGCTTCCTGCTTCTCCAATGAGCCATGCTTTTTTCTACTACAGGACCTTTGCCCAACGTTGTTCCCTCTTTTTAGAATATTTTTACACTCCTTACCCCAAAGTTAGCTTTCAAAGTGATCAGGATGGCCTAACGTTTGTTATTGCTATGGACCTTTTCATCACAATATTTACCTGAATTTGTACTTACATATCAAGTGTGAGGCTCTCTTGCACTGTGCCTACCACATAATAGGAGATTAAATGTTTCAAAGAAAATAATGTAACAGGAACCAAAAGAGGAATAAAAGTAGACAGAATGCTACAAAAAGCTAAATTGTTTATATTATTAATTTTCCTCTTTGCTTCAAAGTCTAGCAAAAGAAAAATACCAATTTCATCATAAGCATCAACTGCTTTATTTGGAAGTTGTTGTTGTTGTTGTTATGTGCTGTGGAGTTGGAACCGACTCATAGCGACCCTGTACAGGGTTTCCGAGGGTGTAAATCTTTACGGGAGTAGAAAGCCTCATCTTTCTCCAGTGGAGCAGCTGGTAGTTTCCAACTGCTGACCTTGCGGTTCACAGCCCGAGTCGTAACCACTACGCTACCAGAGCTCCTTTTTTTTTGGAAGTAAAAGCTATTAAACCAGGTGAAATAACTAATTTATATTTCCTTAGTCTTTTCAACAAGAAGCTTGATATATAAATTGGGGGGGGGGGGAGCAAGATAAATGTTTATGGATATGAATTGATAATCTGGTTAACTTCCTAGAGTTCATATCACTTACGTTATTGCTAAGTGCCATCCAGTCAGTTCTGACTCACAGTGACCTTGTATAGGGTTTCCTAAAAGTGGTTGGTGGGTTTGAACTGCTGACTTTACTAGTTCATACCACAACTGCATCTATTTTTGAGGATGCCAGTGGTGACAAAATCAGATTTAGAATGTTAAAAGTGAAAACTAAAGGGATAATTTGCAAAGCAGAAAGCTGCAGAGTAGAATGTATTTATTAGGTGTCTCGAGTCAGATCCAACCCATAGCAACCGTGTATATGGTTTCTAAGAAGCAGCTGGTGTGTTTGAACCTCAGACCTTGTGGTTCAAACCGACCTTGCAGTCCAGCGCATTAGTCCATAGTGCCACATCAGGGCTTCTATGACATAGTAGAATAGGTGTGGCATGGTAGAATGGTGGTGGTGATTCTACCGTGTCAGAACCGACTCATAGCGACCCTGTACAGGGTTTCCGAGGCTGTAAATTTGTATGGGAGCAGAAAGGCTCATCTTTCTTTCGTGGAACAGCTGCTAGTTTCGAACTGCTGACCTTAAGGTTCGCAGCCCAATTCATAACCACTACCAGAGCTCCTTAGTCATCCCTTAACCTTTGCTTTTAAACTAGGGATCCCACTTAATCTGTGATAGCTGAGTTATGATTTTTCTTGCCTATTTGATTCATTTTGGTTAAGTACAAAAGCTTAACCCAATCAGTGCCAAGTCTCTCCCAAGACACAGCTCCACATCATTTCGCCCCCTCCCCACGGAGAGCTGCAGCTGCGCAGACCACGTAGTTCTCCTGTGACGTCACAAAGGGACCCTACCAAGTGGGACAGCGGCCTCAATAATTTCATACCCTTTATTGGCTACTCTTTCTTCAAATAATAGCTTTCCTAAACCCATCTTGGCCCAGCCCCCATTCAATTAAAACATAAGAATGAAAGCACCATGTTAAGACTTCCTACACGGCCACGCCCACACGCACTCTCTGACTCGCGCCCGACCACCATGCCCTCCCTTGTTGGCGTCGCCCGTCCTCTCCGCAGGGCGCGAGGGCCCCCCCCACTGCAAATCACTGTCTTACAGGAAGGCGGAGCGAGGCCGCACCACCGCCCTAGTCTTGTCGCCCGCTAGTGGGCTGGATTCGAGGGGCGGGCCTACTGAAAGAACGGACCTGGAGGCCCTGGCCAGGCTGATCGGATCCTTAAAAGGCGAGCTTCCTTGGGGGAGGGGTAGGGTAGAACAGAACGGCTCCTTATCCCTACCCTGCTCTAGAAAACCATGAGTACCAAAAGCTCCGCGTCCTCCAAGGGCACCAGACGGGAGCGCGAAGCGGAGAGTGCAGCAGTAGTCAGGGGCAGCACTGTCCAGGCCTCGGAAGCTTTCACTGCATCCGAGCGGAGGAGTACTACCTTTCCGTTTTCCACCTCCAGGTCGACAGTGTCCTCAGTGGTCTCATCAGACTCCTGGAACTCCACCAGCACACAGTCTCACCTCAGCTCCAGTTCCGGACTTATGAATGACCCTAACTCCAGGCCTGGCCTCTGGGGCTTCAGTGCCCACAGTTTGAATGACAGGATCCCTAAATCCACTAACACCAGTCCAGGCGTCTTTGATAGGACCTCTGCAGCCTATAACGTTGACACCAGCTCCAACTCGAACAAGGGGGTCGAACTACCCTCGACATCCGTCTTCCCCTGGATGTCTGCACAAGGACCTTCATCCACGAACACCCCCTCAGGGTTGATACAAGGGCTCCCTCCACGTTCGCTACCCAGTTTAGATCAGGACGCTGTACAAGTACCCCCTACACCAGTGAACAGCCCCATTGGGTCAGTACAAAGGCTAGCTCCACTCTCGATGGCCAACACCCCACGAAATTCAATGCAAGCACTTCCTACACCCACGAACACCCCCACAGGGTCAGTACAAGGTTTTGCCTCACCTTCGAGTCCTAACACTCCCCAAGATTCAACACAAGTACCTCCTACACTCAAGAGCAACTCCCTAAAGTCAGTACCAGCGTCCGCCCCGCCCTCTGTATCCAACTCCCCCCGAGGTTCCATACAAGGCTTTGCTCAGGTCTGGAACACTTCTCGAGTGTCAGTATCGCAGTCTCCCCTGCCCTCCACGCCCAGCTCCGCCCGGGGATCCGTACAAGAAACTGCTTGGCTCTCGACCTCTACTCAAGTGAGGTCAGGGTCTGCTCCGCCCTCCTTGACCTGCTCCCCCAGGGGATCCATACAAGGATCTGTTCTATCAGGATCCGCCCCGCCCTCAGTGCCCGGCTCCCCCCTGGTATCCGGATCAAGATCTTTTACTCCTCTGGACTCCCCTGAAGTGGGAAGACCAGGGTCTGCCTTGCCCTCGATGTCCGGCTCTCCCAGGGTATCAGTATCAAGAGCTACTCTGCCCTTTTCCTCCCCTGGAGTGTCAATACCAGGGTCCGCTCCGCCCTCTGAGCACGCCTCCCCACAGTTATCTGCACAAAGATCTGCTCCGCCCTCGGGCTCCGTCGGAGTGCCAGTACAAGGGTCCGCTCCACCCTCAGCTGGCCGCATTCTACCCACGCCCCCGAAGAGCAGCAAGCAGAGCATGGCGAGTCGGGAGAAGGCGAGTATTGCCGGCCACATGTTCGACGTAGTCGTGATAGGAGGCGGCATCTCAGGTTAGTGCACCATATTGGTCATCTGAGGGGCCCTAGCCGGCCTGGAGTGGGGTTACTGCTGGTGGCGTTTGGAAGGTCTGTCATGCACCGGGAGAGTGTCACAGATCCTGCGAGGTGGAAGTGGGGGTTGGGGCGGCTTTGTTTGTGATATGTTCTAGGGGAGGAAAAACCCCACAATTTTACTATGTACTAATATTAAATGCTAAAATGTCATTTGCTCGCATTGTGAAGTTATATTTAGCACGTTATATGGATTTTCTCAATGCTTAGTAGTTCTATGAGGTGCTGACTTTACTCATCCCCATTGTACAAGACCAGGAATCTAAGGGTTGAAGAGTTTCAATAACTCTCCTGAGATCAAATCACTTAGGTGGAAGTGTCTGAACCCGGTCCTCCAGTTTAAGATTCCCTAATTCCTGAAGTGATTGCTGTGCTTCACTGATTTCACATCCTTTGCCTAAAGCAAAACATCAGCAAAATGGGTTTTTGTAGTACTGAGGTAGTAGTAGTCTGTGCTTGAAGCAGTTTTTGTTTCTGGGTGTTTTTTTTTTTTTTTCTTTAGAAAGTGTGGTAGATGAAGTGGAAGGTGGCAGAAATGTTCAGGGAAAGGTAACCTACTCCTATCAGTTTTTAGAATTTGCAGGATGGTGTAGAGTATTTTATTGCCCCAAGGGAATCCTTTTTAGATGGAAGCAGGGCCCAAGAGAGAGATGGATCTGCTGTGTCCTTTTTTTCACTAAGGGATCCCACTGCCTGAATCCTGCCTTGTGATGAGCCTACCGGCTTGGAGGGCCTGGATTTCTGGGTCCTGGCTGACTGAGTGAGTTTTTTCAGTATTTTCCTGGAAGCCTCACCATGATTGATTTATTAAATTATCACTTAGGCTGTTCTTTTTGGTAAAATGTTTTCAGTTTAGGAATTTTATTTCAGCCTTAGCTAGAATCAAACCTTCCCTCCACCCCCAGAAGTATTAATAATTTCTGCAGGACCTGAAATTAAAGGAGCCATTTTTATGTATGTTTCTTTTGAGGAAGCTCTGAAAAATACTTGCAAGTAAATATTGACTAGGTCTATTGAGAATAAATCAACAATTTTAATCCCTAGTGCAGAGATTAGCATAGCATGAATTGTTGGTTTGACAGGTCCAGCCAGTGCCATCAGAAAACATGCATATATATTGTTTTTATCTGCCGAGAAAAGCCGAAAAGCCGAGCTTGATAAAGAGTTAGAAAAAAGGAATGTTTTCCTGGGTCATTCACTTATGTGTTCATTCCCTCAACAAACACTTGTTGAATGCCTGCAATGATGGGACTGTTGTTTCCAAACACCTGAACCTCCTAGACAAGAAACAAGATGATAGAGTGTTGTATAAATCGATTAGTTCTGTCTCCTCTCCCATCTCCACACACCCATCCATAGTCCACAATTCTGTATTCTTCCTGGGCTTTTCTTCTCTTTTTCTTGTTTTAAACTCCAGTGTTTCTTAGGAGGGTTTTTAGTATTTATTTTTCCTTAATCTGATAGATAACCTGCTCTTTCTTTTGTTCCACACTTTTCTCCTGTACTTGGTCACTGCCAGAGGTAGGTTTACCAGGTAGCTGTTAAATGCTTAGGCCTTTTTGCCCTTGCAACCACATATCCTTTCTGATTTTCATTCAAAGTAACCAATTTCAAACTGAATTTTGTATTCATAATGTTTCTCACTATTAATTATTAATTTGATCTTTTTCATTTGGGGAAGTAGAGGGCATTTCTTACACAGTGGTTCACAGTCCTATCCAGAGATCGGCTTACTGTCCACCAGTGACAGTGGAAAAGGCAGTTGGTTTTCTTTCATTTGTAAGATCCACGGGATTTTAAAACCAAAACTGACCAAAAACATTGTTTTCCATCTGTTGTGACTTTCCACATTATCCACAGCTAAAATGAATGTAGATGCAAGTCTGGCTCCTGAGAAAACCCTAGACATAAACCAGGCATTCTATGAGCGATGAAAATTATCACTTTTCAAGCAGTCTTGAGAACTCAGAAACAATATCTTTGTGTATGTGTGTTTAGCAGTAGTGTATAAGTTACTTACTCTTTCCTGGGTCACGTTTAAATGCTTTTCACTCTGATATACTACTCACACACTGATAATAGATGGCCAAGACTTGGAATCTGCAATGTTATACCTCTTACGTAACAAAATATCTCCTAGAAGAATACAAGTTCTAAATAAAATTATTCAAAACCAATCCATATTAACAGAATTATTCTTTATATTTGTAACTGCACAAGGAACAGCAACATCTTAATATGTTCCCTGACTTTGTTGGCATTTAAAAAATATAAAATAGAGCATTCTTATAGTCATAAATTATCTTTTTCTGTCCACCTGCCAATTAAATATGGGCGCATGGTGAGCTGCAAACTACAAGGTCAGTGGTTCGAGTCCACTAGTTGTTCCACAGGAGAAAAATGAAGTTTTCTGTTCCTGCAAAGATTTGCAGCCTCAGAAACCCTATACAGGGTTGCTATGAGTTGGAACTGAGTCAGTGACACTAACAGCAACCCATTAAATAATTTGGTACATGGTATTAGTAGTTAAGAGTGAAAACAAAACTTGTTCATTTGTAAGTAATATAATGGTATCTTTAATATGCTTTGGTCCTTACCTAGCATCCATCATCTATCACCCTTTCTTTTGAAACTCCTTGCATGTTTTTTGTGACAATGCAGGATTTGGAATTTTTACCCCATACTGACTGCCCCTCTTTTATTCCTTTCATTGTGCTCATATTCTTGTGAACTTGTAGTGTTGAAGTAGCCTCAAGGTTGAGCTATTAATCCCTTTTGGGCTCTTATGCACTCTCCCTCTCTGTTTCTCATTTTATGGCTTCAGCCTTTCCCTTGTAAGTAGAAAGTGCTCAAGTCTCTAGTTTGAGTTTTTTTTCTTTCTCTCAAACCCCTGTCCCATAGCTTACCTACTCCCAGATGTTTCACATTTGAATATCTTTTTCTCACTGTAGATTCACCATGTCACTAAAACAGGGGTGGGGAACCTATTTTCTGCCAGGATCCACTTGGATATTTATCACATCATTCGCAGGCCATAAAAAAGTTATCAACTTGAAAATTAACCTATATTTGGTCAAACATTTAATGAACTCACCCCTAAGGCGATGGTTGGAACTGTGTTTGCCTTGGCAGGGCCAGACTGAATGATTTCCCCACATGGTGCTGTGGGTTAATGCGCTAGACTGCAAAGTCAGTTTGAACTGCAAGGTTGGTGGTTCAGGCTCACCAGTCACTCCTTGGAAACCCTCTAGAGGGTCGCTATGGGTCGGAACTGACTCGGCGGCACTTAACAACAACAACAACAACATCTTAAAGCTACATTATCCTTCAAAAGTTTCTCTTCCTCAATTTCTTAACTCTGTTCTTGGCATTACTTTCCTTTCCATCATTTAACACTTCCTTTTCTCTCTTCCATGCTAGGCTCCTCACTAGATTCTCCTAACTCCTTTTGGTTATCTCTTCTCATTGCCAGTGCTCGTCCACCCCTAGGATAAACCTTTGACCCGTAAGCTCAGTGGCCACCATTGAGTTTGACCTCTCCCTTTGTGTCTATCATGCAGTGTTCACCCAGACTTAATTTTTCTTAAATAACTCCAGACTTCTACTCTGGACCTTCAGTGATCTATTTATTACCAGCGTCTCAAACTACCACCATACACACTCAATGATCTGTCCTTGCTTTTTGGACTGCTGGCATTCCCCGCTATTTCCCATCATGGAACCAGGCTTTAATCACGCTGTTTCCTTATTGTCAGTGTCATTCCATGATTACATATTTTTAACTGTATGCTCTCTTTCCTATTGTTTTTATTAATGTGGAAGTGCTTCTCTGACGATTTCTATCCTATCCATACTTTAATACGTGGTTGAAGACCCTTTTCTTGATCACTCTGGCTCCCTTGGATGTTTCTCTCCTCTTTAAGAGCTTGTAATCAGTACATCCCAATTCACACTTGGTTTTTATTTCTTTTTAAACATAATTTGTTTTATTTTGTGTTGTTGTGTACATGCACAGCAGAACATCATACACCAGTTCAACAATTCTACATGTATGGAAACCCTATCCAGAGTCAGAACTGACTTGACAACACTTAACAACAACAGCATGTACTATTCAGTGACATGGATTACCGTCTTTGAATTTTGTAACCATTTTCACCCTCCTGTTTTGAATTGTTCCTCCCCTATTCACATAGACTCACTGCCCCCTAAGTTTCTATTTCTTGGCATTATGTCAAGTATGTTGTTGTTGTTGTTCAGTGCTGTAGAGTCAGTTCCAACTCATAGCAAGCCTGTATAGGGTTTCCGAGGAGCAACTGGTGAATTTGAACCACCAACCTGGCAGTTCAAACTGACCTTGTGGTCGAGTGCTTATCTTACAGTGCCACACCAGGCATATCAAGTATAGTGGTTCAGTATCTGACTTTAGATGCTAGTTCTCACTTATAAGCCAACAAATGACAGAAAAGCAGCAGTATGAGATTTTAAAATCTGCCTTTAAGACTCTGAAATGACTCTCTTTAGGGACAGGGGATTAAAAAAAAGGAAAAGGGGGGAAAAGCACAGCCTTGGGGGACAATGGATACTTCCTTCATAGATCTGTTTGGAATTCCAGCGTCTTTGGGCCAAAGGGGTTTTAAAAAGCAATCTTAAAAAAAAAAGAAAAAATAATTTAAAAAAAAATTTTTTTTAAAGGCAGTCTAATCTTATCACCTAAGATTTTAATCTTTTTGACAACATCTCCTTGGTGATTTTCTGACTATATCTTTGAACATGTCCAGGGAACAAGAATGAATGCTCATAGAAGCAGCTGTGATTCTGTTCAAGCATTTTGAGAACCTCTGTCATATCCTGAAGGAGCCTTGGTAGCGTATTGGGTTACAATCCAGGTGAAGAAAATGAGACTTTTTGCTCCCATAAAGATTTACAGCCTCGGAAAC